CGGAGGTGTGATCGGCACCCGTTGATGCGGCACGCCGCTGTGTAGCGGACCAACTAATGAGCATCTCCCGTCGCTTGCCAATGGCCTTCCGCTTGGCGTACCGCCAAAGTTACGTTCGCATCCCCATGGACGAAGTACCTCGGGGACTCAATGTGATCCAAAATTTGGTCGCGCCGCTGTCTGGCATAAATAACGTTAACGTCGTGTTAAGTTGTCCATTGGATCACGTTGACTTGGCCATCCTGTCGACACCCGAGATCATGTTTCGAATCGCTTGAACTTACCGGGACGTGAGGAACATCTTGGCTGATTTGATTTCTAGCACAGGGACGTCCGAGTGGTCGAGGACTGGCAGGGGCTCGTTTTTCTGCGCGCGAAGACGGCGGTGGGAGTGTGCGCGCGAACCAGCCAGTTTCTCCTCGGGCTCCATCACGAAATTGACACCTTTAGTGCATCTACAGAAGAAGTGGCCGGTTGTGACGTCTTGGACAACACAGCCACGACAGCAGCATGCCGAACACGATGTGCACATGTAGCGGTTGTGCCTCGTCACCTTGAGGCACATAGCAGATTGAATGGGCAACCGCCGCATGCTGCGGATCCACCACCGGGGCCGCGCAAAGCTCTGCATGGCGTCGATAGGCCAGCGGCGGTAAATTTGGTTCTAACTTGGCAGTTCAACACGTCAAATACAGATGGATGCGGAGAGTCCTACTCCATGATTCTCCATCCAGAAAGTCACACCGGGAAAGTTATCGACACAATGAATCCGCCTCATTCTACGGCGGGGGGAGTGTAGAGGCGTGGACGCTGCCAATGCAGGATGAGAATGGGACGGACATTTCCGTCCATGGCCGTCCATCACGACGCACTTCGTAGCAAGACGAGTCTGGAAGGGGTCGAAATAGCTGACGTGGCTGGGGTGCAGAGTCTTAACTCGAAAAGAAACAGTAGCAACAGCACATTTTCCATGTGTTCGAATTGTACCAGCTCCACCATTGCTTGAACCTTGTCACTCAACACGCTACCGTGGGAGAGGTCGGCCAGCCGTGACCATTGGTTTACAGGGCACATTGCCACGTGGGACTGCCGTTGAAAGCTCTGTTTGACAGTTGCAAGGATGCCACCGGCCACGCCATTCTTTGTGGATTTTGTCGTTCTTGGTTCAGAATGCGTGGACGATCTGACCTCAGTACGACCTTGTGTTTCCCCAGCAACATGTACTGCATACTAGAGTGCCCACGCAATGTTGCCGTCCAAGCATTCTCGAAGGGGTGCCCTGGCGGGGCTGCAGATGGTCGCTGGTAATCCCAGGAATATCTCGGGCAAGTCGCAAGATTAATGTCTCGGGCAAGACGCAAGGCTAACTGTTCAGCCGGGATGGGGGCAAGCTGTGTTGGCAAGACTTCGAACAACGGTGCTTTATACTTCTCTCAGCGGACTGCCTCATGTCACACGACGTTTCTCCATTGTGCCCTCAACATACCTCAATGAACCAGCATGGGTTCGGATTACAACATTGCGCAGAATTGTCGACATAGACGACAATTCTGCGAAATGCTGTCATAGAAGCCGTTCACCGTGCGAACTCGTATGTAGTTGGATCTTCAGCGTCTCAAAGGTAAGCAAATTCCGTTGTCACAGCCATCAAGACCAGTCTCACGATATCCACCACGGAACTTCTTTCCCCAAGCGAGACCGAAACGGTGTAACTTCTCCACAGACTATAGAGCACCGCCACGTGTCACTCTTCGTGTGAATTCAGAAGTGCTGAACTGAAGTCACCCAGAGTCGCGCCCGCAATCGACCTTCCGGTGTGAGTTCATCCCTATGAATTGGTCGCTTTAACAACTACAGGCTCAGGCCTCCCATCGCGGCTTTTGTACTGGTTGTGGGGGTTTACGATCGTACAATAAGGTATTAACGAAGGACGAAATCTCTCGGGCTCGTGGAGTCCGCACATCGGTGACGGCGATTCTACGAACATCTATCAAACAGCTGACGAGATCGCATGGTGTGTATTATCATCGGGCAGACTTGTATCGTCCATGGTGGACGTAGTGGGGTTGAAATCCTCTACTCATGATGTTCGTAGAGGGGTTGAAATGTTGAGTCATGAGGGGTCGTATGGTTCACTGGCCTAGGCTAATCCGATGACATACTATGTAGTATAGATGGCAGCGCGCATCCATGGGTTCATCGTCCTTGGTCAAGGTCGCTGTCACATCAACCTCATGTCGCAATGTCGCATGACCTCGACAACTACTAGGGACAGAACCCAACGAAACCTCAAGTGTGGCACATCGACCCAATTGGAGATGGGGCGCCGTCCGACTATGTCAACACCAAGCAGTCTACTTACTATCGGGCCCGATGGCTCCCGAAGGAATCGATCTGGCACGTGTAACCATCAATTTCAAAACGGTGTCCATCGATCGATGCACTTTTGGCACCAATGGGGAGATCCTTCAGATGGCATACTACCTCCTTCGCCATGAAGGTACAGGTAACTGTGTGTACCTCCTGCGGCCACGATATACACGTAGCATCACTGGCGTGACGACGGACGTTGGGCTGTTTGCAGGGCCGAGTTCTGCCCGAACGTGGTGGGGGCAGTGAAAGTGGCTCGGAAAATGGGACCTGGGCACACGATCATGACGGTATTGTGCGATGGGGGCGACCGGTACCGCAGCAAGCTATACAATGCCAAATGGCTGGAGATAGAAAAGTTGACAGACCACGTCAACGCCCCGCTGCAGTTGTGAGTCGATGGAAAATACGGTCCTCGCTCGAGAAAACACCATCTTTGAGGTCGCTTTGAGTCTAGTTTGATGTACCAGCGTCTTTCCAGGGAATAGGGACAAGTGGTGGTATTCGTTGTGGTGGTGGGATCTGGTTCTGTGGTCGAGTTTAACCGGCGAGTTTTGGCCGTAAAGAGCAGCGCCACGGATGGCGGTGAAGTCGAATCCCAGCGATGGTTTCACCATTCGTCGTGGATCTCCCAACGCATTGGGTGCACGGTGGGAACATCTACATACCTTGCATTCCACAGCTCTGGGAGAAACCAGGCGAGTGCTGTCACCACCTCGGGCTCGTCGCGATCAAGAAGATGTTACTAAGAAGAATTGCGACAGGTCCATGCGATAGGGGCACATATGTATGAACGTTGTCGTGGCGACTAAGACGATTGCTGGACCCACATCCCACCCGAAGAGCACAGACGCCGATGTGCTCTCGTGGGTTGTGGGTGACTAGCTGCTGCTGTTCATGCGTGCCATGTTCGTCTAGCCGTGGGCATAACGACGCTTTGACGCGAAGTTGTCTCAATGGGACACTCCGCGAAAAACCAATTCCCGGCATATGACCGGCTCTGCCGCCGACCACGCCCGCGTGTTACCTCTACTGAGCCCCCGACCCCACTCAAGACGTCACTCCAGTTTCAATTCTGAATTGCCCCAGCAATACCTAGCATTATGGTGTTCCTCCGGCTTCTCCTTGCATTCGCCGCGACCCCATTCTTGGTCAATGCTTCGAAGTACCCTTGCTCGGCTATTGAAGACAACGTCGACTACCACGGCAACGATATTCGCCACACTCGCCGAGTGTCGGCCGAATATTGCTGCGACGACTGCGCCAAGACCGACAAGTGCCAAGTTTTCACGTGGACTGATTATGAAGGCGGTACTTGTTGGTTGAAGCACTCCAAGGGTGAAAAGAAGCTAGCCATTGGAGCCATGTCGGGGTCGATTAAGTCGGATCCCATCCCGGACAAGTGCAGTTACATCGAAGCCGACGTCGACTACCCCGGCAACGACATCGCGTCTACTCGCCAGGCACACGCCGTGAGTTGCTGCGACGACTGTGCCATGAATCGTAGGTGTCATTTTTTCACGTGGACCAACCACGAAGGTGGCACTTGTTGGTTGAAGAAGTCCAAGGGAAAAAAGAAGTACTTTCCTGGAGCCAAGTCAGGGTCAATTGAATCGCCTCCTAAGCCTGAACCCCCCTGCCCCGAGCCTTCTAAACCCGAGCCTCCTAAGCCTGAACCCCCCTGCCCCGAGCCCCCTAAACCCGAGCCTCCTAAGCCTGAGCCCCCCTGCCCCGAGCCTCCTAAACCCGAGCCTCCTAAACCCGAGCCCCCTGCGCCCGAGCCCCCTTGCATTATCCCGAACGTTCGTAAAGTTTAGGGTGGCTCATATGACAACCTAGATATTCTGCACTACCCCGAACTGTCGAAGAGTGCAGAGTGTCGATGACTTTACATCTACTTCTTGCCTCTTGAAGTAAATGAATACATATTGGATGTGAACCCCAGTGGTGCGTGTCATTATGCTTGGCTCACTGATCATCTGAGACAGGTGTCATGAAGTCCTCTTGATCGGTCACCAAGTCAAATTCTTGTGTATCTCTAATCGATTCTACTTGCAACACAGGTTTCACTTGTATTCGAATTGGTGCATGCACTGACAGAAACGAAGGCAAATACAGTATTCAAAACGTGCACTCTTTATCACTGCACCGCAGAGCTGTGACCGAGATATTTCCAATACCTCAGGCCTTATTAAAGGCGGAAATCTATAAATAGTTTCCAATATCGCTGCTATGGGCTAAATGCTTCGCGTCATCGAGCGCATGGTGAACCAGAACGCCGAGGACGAAATTTTCCAGGATATCAAGTACTGGGAAGACGCATCGGACGCGTTTCGAGATGGATCACTGTTACAGTTGTGGCGGTTCTCGTCTGAGCGAGCCAAGAAGAAACAGGTCACAGCCGTGTGTTGGAACCCCGTGCTTCTCGGACTTGTTCGCTGTCGGGTACGGCTCGTACGATTTTCTGAAGCATGAGTAGGCTCGTGTGCTGCTACTCACACAAGAACACGTCGCACCCC